CAGACAGCCAGCACCAGCACTGAGAGACATGCACACTCAGAGACGACACACACACTGTCGCACACACCGGTTCATGCATCGGTTTCAGAGGGATCGCTGAACCGGACCAACTTGCCTGCCACATATCACGGTAACTGCTTTGTCTCACTTTTTCTCATCCTGTCTCTTCCTCCCTCGTCGGACACAGGTAATGTAGTGAAATTGATTGAACTGATCTCTCTGAGATCTGTGTTGTGTCCTGCTGAGGGCTTTACACAGTTATTACTGTTTCAAGTGCTTTATTACCTGCTGTTAGCTGGTCTAATTAAATCTGCGCCCTTGTTTTCTTGATTTAATGGGGGACCCAGTGTGCACACATGGGGAGTTCATAGATAACTTGCTAAGACGTTGTTGTTGTTTTTTTGATCATTAACAAAAATCTTATTTCACTGTATATTTCATTTCATGATCACAACATAATTAATTTTGCTGGAAATTCAATGCAATAATATTTTTAGTTTAAATAAATATTATTTATTTTTGTTTTAAATAACCTGTTTTTTTTAATAATCTAGTGAATTTAATACATCAAAAACAAAAGGTGCTTCATCTCAAGTGATTATTTTTCTTTTTTTTTTTACTTGATTGATGCGACCCCAAAAAAATATTATTTATAAAATAATATTATTATAGATTCACATTACTTAAAACTTCTGAGTTGAAAACTCAATAAATAAATAAGTTCTTCCTTGTCTTAATTCTGCTTTTGCATTGTTCTAGGGTTTGTCAGCAAGCAACAAAAATAAAAATCATATAAATAATGTAAAGCAATCCTGCCCGCTAATGTTTGTGCATATATATGCAGCAATATAGCAAAACTTGTTTCAACAAGTCGCTATAGCAGCCAGTGAAATTTCTGAATAGATTTCCATAAAACAAACAAATTTCCATTTTCTGTTCTTTATTTATTTTTTTACATATACGTGCATGCATTTGGCAGACTATTTTATACAAATCGACTTACATTGCATTCAAAGTATACTTTTTATCAGTTCTTGCTCTCCCTGGAAATCGAACCCATGACGTTGGCGTTGCTATCGCTGTGCTTTACTGTTTGTGCTACAGGAAGGAATTTTTAACACAATCTGAATCTATTGTTTGTTTTGCTGTTATCTGAAATGAGCATCTCACTGTTCTGTCTGGTTTTTCCTAATAGACTCAGCAGCCGAGCCCGGCTCGGGAGAGGACGCGCTGTCTCGGATTCGCCGCCTAATCGCAGAAGGAGGAATGACGGCCGTGGTCCAGCGGGAACGCAGCACTACTATGGCCTCTATGGGTGGCTTTGGAAACAACATCGTGGTCAGTCATCGGATTCACCGTGGCTCTCAGACCTCGGTCAGGACGACTCGGGTGGGAAATCCAACCTCGGAGATGCCTGCTGGACTCGGTATTTCCACTCTTTTTCACACTGAACCCTTGGTAGACTCAGTAGAAGCTCCTGGGCCTTCAGGGTCGAGCAGTGTCCCACTTCCATCACCGTATACAACTCGTTCTGAAGTTGCGAGGGCATCTCCTATTGTTGAGATGGACTTGTTTGGCGATCATCAAGTTGATGATGTGCAGCACCACCCATCCGCAAGCGGTTTGAATATGTCCAACCATAGCAACAACAATAACAATGACCATAGCAACAGCTACAGTGAAAGCCGGAGCCGAGATTACCCTGATGACCTATACGGCAGATAGTTTTAAGTCTGGTTTTCACAGAGACGAACATCTCAAAACTGGTCTGCATGGTGCTGGAGCATTTCATGGTGGAACCTTTGTTACACATAGAACATAGCATTTAGGGCGGAGCCACTGAACTTCCTGCCTCAGTTCTGAGTCCTCCCACTCTGGCCTTATTTAGGATTGAAAGAGTGCCAAGTTTTTCATGGCATCTCCCTAACCGGGAGACGTCAGCCTCACCTTTTCTGTCAAAAAAACTGATTCTCGCTTTGGGGAAGCATCATTGTTGCACTTGCGCTTTGCACTTAAGTTATAATTTTTCTTCCTTTCAAGGTTGAGTCTCAGACATTTTATCATTCCATGCGAGAAAGGGCAACATACTTGAATCCTTCCCCTACTGCAGTACGGAATTACATGGTTGTAGTTAACCACCCTTTCAAGCTCCAGGAAAAATGATCAGCCAATCGAAGTGCCAGATGAGGCTGTGATTCCTATGTCTGCATGACATTATGGTTTGAGGAACTGTAAAACAGTACAGACTCTTCACAGCTAAACACTAACTCTCACAACATCCTCTAACGGTTTTTGCGTTCAAATTCAGAGATTATGCTTGACGTGATTGTTTTTTGTGTGCGATAAAGGGACTTTCAGTGGTCAAGTCATTCGGTAGATTGATCAGTATCTAGAACAACGTCTGCCTTGAAGTTCTCAGACTGGAATGTCCCACTAAACTTCCAGATGGCGAATTTTATGATGGTTTTTACTTTGAATTTATGTCGTTTGAAAAATACACTTCTGAAAGCATGTCGTCTGTAATTGTCTGTCGGATAAAAAAAAGCAGTTCAGGAACCCTCAAGCTGGTTTAGATCTCTCATATCTGCATGTGTGTCCAATTCCAGAGCTTTTATACGAGGAGGCGGGCTGAATGCAGAAGGTGGGGCTTAAGCAAATTAGCATGTAGGCTGTAGAACGCACATGCGCATCAAGTGACATTTTGGTGCGCTGAGCAGGTTTTATTGGGCTTTTATACATTTGTGACCTTTAACTTGAGTGCATGAGTCAATTCATGTTTATTGTTGCAATTTAACACGATGCATTTACTAATCCTACTGATGCGATTTCCCAGAAATACCTTAATACTCAGAAATGACATGTAAGACCATTAAAATTATTGTGCCAGATCATTTTCATGCTTCAAATGCAACACTTTTTGTGCAATTTAGCCAGTTCGCCATTAATTCACCTCAAATCATCTGATTGGCCGACTGTTCCATTCTACCAATCACAAGCCTCTTATGATGCGCAAGCGACAAATGGCAAGTGATTGCACTTAAGCACCCTTTTGTCCTTCCGAACTGCCCCGAGAACAGCGTTACAGACAATAAACCAGACATATCTCTATCATAGATCTGGATTATGACTGATAATCACACTTGAATATCCCATAATAGAGTATTTCTTGGGCACTGGACACTTAGGAGAAAGACGCCCATATATGCGCGCACAATGCTGAGAGTCACTGATGACGGGCACTGTCTGAATGTGTGGATGTGTATGTCTGTGAGTGTCTGCCACTAAACCTAGAGTGTTTTATTATAAATAAATGTAGCATTGTAAATGTAGAGATGATAAATCGTGGGGAAAAAAACTTAAATCCATATTTCAGGGTGGGGTTTGGTTTTTTTTATGACATACTTGCCTTGTGTGCTCTATTGTGCTTGATTAGAGTCTCGTGTACGATTGGTCAACTCTAGTGATTTGAGTTGTCAGTGCATTTGCATATGCACAGGCCTTTCGTTAACAAGCATTTATATAGTTATCTCCCTCTGCTTTTATTTGTGTAAAAGATTTTGTTATTCTAGCTGCTTGGCTTGAATTAGTAGCTTTTTGTAAAAAAGGAAAAAAAAACAAAAAAAACAGTCCCCAGTAGGAATGGTTTGTGTTTTGAATGTTTTTGGATGTAAGATTCTGATGGATTGTGGTCTCATCGCAAACAATGGCAGCTGAGGAACCTCTCAGAAACCACATACCCTTTGACGTTTTTCCATGAGTTCAGTGCCTTGGGGAATCTTCTCCTTACTGAACCACAGAAGCCGTTCTGAGGTGCGACAAAACCAGAATAGCTTCTTCATAAGCCTTTTGACCGTTGAGTGTTTTAGTTATTGGTAGAAATATTGGTAAATCTGAAGTCTGGTTGTGTTGGCTGTCATTTCAATTATTTATTTTACCCTTTGTGTGAATGACAAATGCAATCCTGATTTTAAAAAAAAGCTTCTATGATAAGAGCGAAGGACCTTTTTACGTTATTCTCCATCAATGACACATCTTTTCCTGATTTTACTCATTTCTGGCCATATGCACGCCTTATTTTTATGAAGTCATTTCATGCAGGGTTTGTTTTAGATTTTTAGGCCTCCTGACAATTCATTTGTTCAGACGAGATTAGCTGACGGTGACAGAAAGTGTGACATTTTAAAGCTGTAATTGTGTTCTTGTTGGATGTGTGGTTATGTATATGCTCTCACTGCTGGATCAGTACCGTAGCGGTAAGTCATGATGGTGGAAAAGACCAGAATTCAACTTTCTCTCCTGACCAAACAAGAGAGATGTGTTGTTATGACTTACCATAAATGTGTAGTTGGGTCTTTATTTAGTGAAAATGAGGATTAGGTGTTGTAAAAGAATTTTGTGGGACACCAAAGATCCTGTGGTAATGACGATTATGAGAGTTTTAATAAAATGGGAATATGGAAATTAATTCAGTTGTTTTTTATTTTTATTAAAGTATTTTATTCCTTTAAAAAAATATGCAGTAAAATACTGTACTATAGCGATGACAAACATGACTGAGAATAATGGGAATTACAAAAAAAAAAAAAAAACTTGGGCATTAACAAAACAAAAATACCTGGACTAATACCTACCTAATTTTCCCCAAATTATATTTTTATTATTATTTAGCATATTTTAAAAAAAAATGTTTTTTGATGTCATAATTTTCATGACGGTTAATCACATTTTTCCCAAATTCTCCCTGAAAATGGTCACAATTTAAAATAAATAAATAAAACATCTGTAACAAAATGTGGTCATAAAAAATTGAGGAAAATGTGCTTATTTGTCAAAGTTTAATTGTCTTCATGTATAATGAAGTTTCTTCTCATTATCTTATATATTGCAGTGAAACGTACTCAGGTCCCTGCATCCTCATTACAACTTTTATCTATGTAAACATCTGTGATTTGTTGTAGTATGTGTGATATTTAAAATGTTAAAATAGAATCATAATAAAATTCAAAAGATGTGAAACGGCTGTGGAGCTTCATTACAGGTCAGGTAATTAGATTCCATCTGTTGTGTAACTGCTGCCTTCCTCTTTAGATGACAGGAACTGCATTAAATATACATGCTTTAAAAAGGCAGCACGAATCTAGGAGGAATTCAGCAGTAATACGATCGTTCCACACTACTTTGATCATCTTCCAGTAAATTTAGTGTATTGATACAGCCCTAAGAGGATGGATGACTTGTTCCTGGTTATGTATTCGGAAGGTGAGGATGGGTGTTACTGTTTGAGGAATTAAAAGTCATCCCAGTCGTTCTCTCGTTCAGATTGAGCAGCAGATCATGGAGACTGGATCTGTCATTTTTTCGAGGGACTTTGAATCGTTCGTTTTCAACGGTAAGTTTGCTGATTGGATCACGTTAGGGTCATAATTTTTGTCTAATTTATATCTTCATTTCTACGTACAACCAGTTAGAGTTGTGTATTTTAGCATTAAAAGTGTAGTGTATATACTGTCTGTAGAGTTCAATTTCAAGTTGTTTGCTCATATGTCAAGTTAAACACTTCTTTACAACTTGATTTATGATCAATTTCCGTTTTCTTGTCGCAGGCTCCTCCACAAGTTCCTCCATCATGCTCAACAGCAGCATGCAGAGTCCGTTGCCCGAAGAATCATACTTGGTGTTGGGAAGACCACATCGTTCGTTCGGGACTGTAGGGGTGGTCGTCATCATACTTATCACTAGCTGCATCAGCCTGCTAACAGTCCTGGGCAACGTCCTGGTTCTGCTTTCAATCAAAGTCAACCGCAATCTCCGAACCATCAACAACTACTTCCTTTTTAGTCTTGCTTGTTCGGACCTTATCGTCGGTGTTTTCTCCATGAATCTTTACATTGTGTACGCCGTAAAGGGGTATTGGCCTTTGGGACCGCAGATGTGCGATTTGTGGTTGGTTGTGGATTACGTGGTGAGTAACGCCTCTGTGATGAACCTCCTGCTGATCTGCTTTGACCGGTACTTCTGTGTGACCCGGCCTCTGAGTTACCCAACCAAACGTACCACAAGGTGGGCTGGGGTGATGATTGCTGTGGCTTGGTTACAGTCTCTGCTTCTCTGGGCTCCAGCCATCCTGCTTTGGCAGGCTGGGAGGGACAGGAGCAAGGTCCCGGAGGGACAATGTTATATCCTGCTCCTCGACAACCCTGCCGTAACCCTGGCAACCACCATCCCAGCGTTCTACATTCCCGTTGTGATAATGATGGTACTGTACACACGGATATCCCTGGCCAGTCAGAGACGGGTTCATAAGCTGAAGCCTGAATTCGCAAACCTGCTTGAACCGTCTAAGGCAAGTGGAGGAACGTCAACCGCAAACCCTGACCTAGTGATTTCCATTAAACTCAATGAAACATGCTCATTTAAACAAGATTCAATGCTCGTTAGAATGAAACGCCTCCCTTCTGTAGAGTTCAGCAAAACGGACTACTTCTTGGATTCAAGTCCTGATGCCTCTGCGGAAGACCAAGGGCTGGATGCAGAAACCTCGAGACCGAAGACCTCGACAGGGTGTGCAGAAACTAGCAGGACAATGCAACCTCACGGTCTGCAAAACCATACTACCTTTCAGGTTCAAAGTCAAGCATCCAAGGTCATCTCCAAGAATGCCAGACGGAAGGCTCTTAGAGAAAGGAAGGTGACGAAGACCGTCCTTGCCGTTCTATTGGCCTTCATTGTAACTTGGACGCCTTATAGTGTTATGGTTCTGATTGGTACCTTCTGCCGCTGGTGTGTCCCTGAAATTCTGTGGATGGTGGGTTACTTTATGTGCTACGTCAACAGCACGGTAAATCCAGTGTGCTACGCGCTCTGTAACGCCACCTTCAAAAGAACCTTTAAACGACTGTTGATGTGCAAGTTCAGAAATCTGACATCAAAATGAGTCGGACTTCATTCTCTTATCAAGGACTCCTAGCGAACCAACGAGGAACCTGATTCGCCCAAACGTTTCGTGACTGTGAAGCTGTTTTACTAGAGCCAAAAGTGAAAAAAAGTGAAGTTGGTTGACATTATTGGTGTTTATCATGTTGCTGATATTGTTGTTTGCGAATGTATTCTTACGCCAACAGTTTGTGTAAATCAATGTGATAGTTTAGAGAAGACACTGATTCTTATTTTGTGAGCATGATGCTGGTTTACTAGAGCCAAAAGTGTAAATACAGTGAAGTATTTATCCTGTTGCTAATGTTGTATGCATTAAATGTATCGGAAAGTCATTAAGTTCGCAAATGCATATATGTAAATCAACTTACAAAACACCTTGATTCATATTTTTTGTGAGTGATGGTGTTTAACCAAAGTGAAAAGTAAAAATAAACGTTTGTAATTTAATATTCATCAGGGCACTATTATTGCATTTGTTCTACGAATTGTGTGGCACATTGGAAAGTTTTTTTTTTGTTTGTTTTTAAGTTACAGTTTGTAAGACTATTATTGTTTGCACAATAAATTGGTAAAAAAACAAACAAAATTGTGTAAATCATACTTGCATTCTTATCAAAATTGTCAAGTTCTATAGTGTTACAAGTGAAAATTTGTTATCACATCATTAAAATTGCATGTGCCGAATTTAGCACAATCTATTTGACATCATAAAGTAATTCCTAAGTTTGTCTTGAACAATAAATGTGTGAACTTTGTTTTTAAAAAAGCACCAGAAAGTATTATTGAAAATACACTTTCATTTATTCACAACCTGTAGAAGTAATCAGTTAGTGTTGTAAATTTGATGGTACATCCATCAAATCTAAAAACATAAACATTTATAAACAGATACTTTATATAGGCCGTTACTTCCAGGAGCGATGTTCGTTTAAGCATTCAGCTTACATGTTATAAACGTACAGAAATAGTCTTCATTCGTTTTGTTGTAATTTACAAATGCTTTCATTTAGGGGCATAATTAGGGTCTCGCCAGTTTTTCTCTTTAGTAAAGACAACTTGTTAGACAACAGATTTGCTGCGGCCTGTTTTATACATGCAAAGTCAATTACAATTAAAAATTCGCTACAGAGATCAAATTACAACAGCATAGACGCATACATTTACTAATTACAAAACGAAGAAAGTGGACATAAAAACAATAGGTAGGGCTACAGTTTTTTTTCAGCATTCACCTTTTGGAGGATTTGGGAGTGTCACATAGGAATGTACCACTGAGTGGGCAATGGGGCAGTTGGGGTGGTCTTCAAGTTAGTTTTCCTTCCCTTTTCCTTTCTTCTTCTCGCCTCCCTTGGGTTTGGGGGTCTTTGGGGTGCAAGGTTTGGACACTTTAATGGTGGTCTGGCATTCAGCGTTGAACAGTGCCTTCTTCAATGTCCCAGACCTGCTTCTGGTTCCTGTAGTAGTGTCACATTCGGCCCAGCGACCAAACTTGTACTTGCAGTCAGCTAAAAACCAAGAACAAACTAGAATGAATGGCCTGTCTAAATATATTTTTCTTTGATTCACATCCAGACATGCATTCGACGTATTCATACATGGTAAAACTCCTTACCGCCAAAGTCTTTCTTCCAGTTGCAAGGGACTCTGCACTTGGTTTTCTTTGTCTGTTCGTTGCAGGTCGCCTCCCGAATGCCAGCGCCGCAGTCGCCGCTGTTGGGCACGCATTTCCCATACTGCCATTCACTGCACTCAGCATCTGCTTTGGGCTCTTTGCCCTTTTCTGTCACAAAATAGAGAATTATTATTAATGGTACCACACCAAAGGAATGTGCATTGCATCATTTTAATTGAAAAAATAAGAACCTTTTTTCTTCATACTGGCTTCCACGGTGATCAACACCACCAGCAGCACAAGCGCTATAGAGAATAAACTCCGCATTCTGGGAAAAAATATAGCTGACATTAATTTCAGTTCAATTATGTGCTTGTGCTTGTAATGTGCTTTTGTCATTTTTATTATTTTTTTATATTTAATTTAATATTTGTTATTTACTGTTTTTTATATATATTTCTATTTTGCTTTATTTTATTTCAATTCTAGTTATTTTAGTTTAAATTATTTCAATTACCTGCCAGGGCAACATTTCTAATTATCTTTTACATTTTTAAGTTTTAATCTAATAGATCATATTTAATTTGATCTCTGCTTTAAATCAATTATCAAAAACGTAGAGGACAGCATCCAACCAGGTGTCCATAATCATATCTGTTTATGTGAGTTCTTGCACTATATTATGTGCTATATGTATTTAATATTTTACATATTCAAATATATACATGCATACACCAACATAAATATATATTATGTTGTATTCGGTTGTATTTATGCTGCTCAAAAACATTCAAGTTTGATATATTAATTATATTTTGTCCTTTTGTTGTTTTCTAGGTTGGTTTAATTTGTTTAATTAATGTTTCACTGCAAACCGATTAATTCTGCTAAACCGGTAACTAACCATCAAAGGTCCTCTCAGAAAAACCAAATCTGATAAAGTCAGATAATTACACATCAGATATAAATGTTTTGTTTGTACCGTCTAAATTAAAGACACGGTGTACATAATATCCTCCGCCATCCTAGCAGCTCTCTGTGTGTGACTCCATAAAAGAGCCTCTCTATATTTTCCTCTTTCTCGCAAGAAAAAAAGCACACAGCACTTCTCCTTTTCATTCTTTTCCTGCCTCCATTAAAACAGGCTTCTTTCAAGGCCGCAGCCCGCGGCACGGCTCCATTCTTCAGTCACTCATAAATGTGAAGGGCTCCTCGGGGTCGGACTTTTTGTGCGAGGAGAAACAGCGGTCGGCAGGGGACCCCCGCCTCCCCTCCTCAGCCTCCACGGAGAGAGAGGCCAAGTCCTCAAAGACCTTCAGCTGGGCCATAGAGGAGCCTGATTCACTGGCTCCAAACAAAGCAGGATCTCGCCCGTTTTGCTTCCCTCTCTGAAAGGGCCCGACCACAGATCCCATTCTGTGTCTTGAGGAGGAGGGGTTGGCCTCCGCTGGACTCCTTTGAATGTAAGCCTATTTGCAATGGAGGACAAAGCCCGCTCTGTTGATGCAAGAGGGGATGTGGGATGCTGCCTTTGATAAATGCAGAACTGGACATTTTGAAAACTTCCTCAAGGAGCACAAAGTTCACCGTCGACCGCTGGACACCCCAACCACAGGCTCTCTCGCATCTGGAGCTTTATGAAATCGCAAGGCCTGATGGTTCTGATTTGGAGAAGTGGGTCAGCAGTTGCTGGCAGCTGGTCCTCTTTGGCACTTCACAGAGCATCATTATCCCTGACAGCGTTAAAGCGCCCTTGCGCACGAAAACACAAACTCCACGACTCTATTACAGCATGAATGCAACAGTTTAAAGCGACATCCGCCATTAAATCAACTATAATAAACAATTATATTCAATTTAATTAGCGATAGCTATAGTGTCGCTTTCCAATTAAATCTAATATTGACGCTATTTTTCTAAACTCATGGATTATTCTGATAATAAACTAATTTATGCATTTTATAGTCTAAAAAAATCGTAAAAACGTGCTTTAAATGAAACTCTTTATTGACGTTGAATGCGTTTGTTTTTATGACACGGTGCGTCCATACGCCTTTCTTACATAGGCTATATCATGTCATACTACTGTCACACATCATAAACACACCCAAAACATTATATATATGCACACATCCTATTATCGCACTAAAACGCAGATAAAAATGATAATATAAGCATATCAAAATAAATCCGGTTAATCGCAGATATTTGCATTATTTATCACCCACTAGTAGGCTATAATTCAAACGCGCAGCGTCGTGAAACACATCGACTGCAGTTTAATAATAGGAGCTGTTGGGTTATGATGGTGATGATGTACTTGCCTTATTGCTGTGAATATGATGCTGTGCTGTGAGCGTGTCTGTGTTCAGCTGTCTCTGTGATCTCTGCTGCTCTGTGTTATAATCAAAATTATGAAAATGCAAGACGAAATGGAAATACATTTCTCTTATTTAATTGATACATTTCTTTTTATTTATTAACTTTTTCTTATTTTTGCCACATTTTATACACATGCTTGCTATAAATAAATAAATAAATAAAATCTAGTATATATATGTATATATATATATATAATATATATATATATATATACTATATACTTTTTTTGCAATTATAAATACATAAAACAAATAAATAAACCTAATTATAATAATGCAAAATTATGAAAAGGCATTTATTTTTTTCAGTAATTATTTATTTAACTTATTTTATAATTTTTTACACATTTTATACGCATGTTGGTAAATAAATAAATAACATACTATAATATAATGAGCTTTTTGCAATTATAGATACATAAAACAAATATACAAAATTATGATCATGCAAAATGAGGAAAATATATTTCTCTTATTTAATAAATGTTTTTCTTATATTTGTCACCTTTTATTTATACACATTTACTTATGCTTGGTGGTATAAATAAATAAATAACATCTATTATATAATCCTTTTTTGCAATCTCTTTCCTGATGTACAATTTATCTTATTTTATTAGCTGTTTATTTTATTTGTTTCCTCTGGTTTTGTTTTATTATTTTTATTTTATTTTATTTATATTTAGGACCTTGTCCCTTTAGAATATCTAAAACATCTTGATTTGTGTTTCTGTTTTCCTACAATTATTTTTTTTAACTTGTTTTTTTAATTTCATCATTTTTTTTTATTCAAAAGTCAAGTCAAAGTCTGCTTTATTGTCAATTCTGCCACATGTACAGCACATACATACAGAGAATTGAAATTGCGTTACTCTCAGACCCTTGGTGCATACAGTTATCACTTAACACTAACAGTCTGTCCCTCTGCGTGTTTTTAAGTGCTTTGAATTGCCATTGTGTAGGAAATATGCTATATAAATAATCCAGTCTATCTGTATATTACATTATATGATTTCACCATGGATTCTCTGTTCAGATGAGCTTGTGTGAAATGTTTCTTTGACTTACTATCCAGCAAACTTAAAATAAGCTGAGGTTAAACAGATTTAAAAATACATTTGCGTCCTCTCCCTAAATGGAGCTAGAGCAGGAGAGAGAAAACAATAAGCTTATCTCCGAAATGATAAATGAGTCACAAATGTCAACACATCCATCATTACCGGTAACTCATTCAGACATAAAGGCCTCCTATAGGGAGAGGCAGAGTTCAGCATTATACACAGTTTACCACCCGGCGCTCCAAACCCTGATGTGTTCACCAATGCACTCAGTCAGTTAACCTTATGGTAGAAGTACACTCAGTAAATAATGCAAAAACATAAACTTGTTTTTAAAGTCTTTATTTATTTCCCCCCCCCCCCAAGTAGACAGTAACAATCCAACCCCAAGAACAAATATATGACTTTTCCTCTAACAAAATTTTTATCTACTCTTCTAAATAAAGCCTTATCTAAGTTCATATCACATACTAATAAAAGACCTTTATATCAGAACCGATTGTTCAAACATTTTTAAAATGTTTGACGAATTATATACATGTATCTTCTATTTGGAATTGCATAGCAACTCATACAAAGCACTGACAAAATACATATTCTATCATAATGACATCTCGCCACAAACACACTATGGTAATGCAGACAACACAGCGTTGTCAAATGGCTGCTTTGTAAAAAGACCAGCTTTCCTGTCTCTTTTATTATTCAAGCATTTAGTCAATTGTACATGTACATAAAGTGACCGGGTTGAATATACACAAATTTAAACCGCAGGCGATGATATAAATATATCTGTTACCCAGCCATTTGTCACTGAAAATGTGATTTATCATCTTAAAACTACCAGAAGAATTTTCTGTGTACTTAACGTGCTCAGTTTGGCCGGAAACCAAAACTAACAAGTTCAAGTTGCTGCATGACTTAATAAATTCTGTAAAGAACCTAAAATCACACTGGTGAGAGAAAATGTTCATTCAAAAGTATAGCAGTCAGTGCAAGCAATGCTAAGAGATACAATCCCATTCCTGAAGGAAACTTCATTCAATTAGGTGAACATTTATGGTTAGAAAATAACCAAAGGCAAATCTATTGACTAAGAAATTATTACAGTTTATAATATATGGTGAATAGAATTGATTTAATGCTATCTAAGGTAGTAATTAATGGAATGTTTTAATGAAATTCAAGCATTTACCACAGAGAGAGAAACTGGCCGTAAGCAACAGCTGAGGAAGCATTCTTAAACGCAGGAGGCTATGAAAACAACGTCTCTATCTCGAATCAGAACAAACACGTGAAGTGGAAGCCAAGCTAGAGGAAGTTTCCAGTGGATTACAGTCACATAAAATCTGTAAAATTAATTCAAACATTAATATTAAGTAAATGTAATCAGAAGCAGCGGAAACCTCTCCTATTAATCTCTCGTGAGGTTTGTCTGGTTTTCTTTATAGTAGTTTAGTAAAAGCCACTTTCATACATGGTACTTCATCCCTGAAATTCCCAAAATTTTGCACATTGTGTCCTAAGGGGCAGAGTGGTGCAGTTTTGTGCGGCCCTGAAAGCTGGACGTGACGTAACAAACTCATGCATTCTGAAACATGACACAAACACTGTTGTCTTGGCATTACAATCAATACAGAGAGCAACAAGCTAATTTCCGCACACGTGCTGCCTCATAGCATCGCTAGCGTGTGGCGACCAGATAAACCGGCCACAGGAGAGAGCAGATAAGACTCTGTGGTTTGGTGGTGGATGGAAAAGATGGTTCTAGAGGCCGGTCACACAGCCGTCTCATGGTCCTCCCTCTGGATCATCTGGTGGTGTTGTCGGTTTTCCAAGTATGCGGCCAACTCCATGTCTTGAGCTCGTTCTGCGTACATCTTTGGAGTTTCACCCTGCAGAATGACAAAGATATTTTAATTTATTTAATTAATTTTAATTTATTTAATTAGAATTTATTTTTATTTTAGGAATGATGGAATGATTTTAGGAAGGAAGGAATTAATAAATAAATACATACAGAATACTTTTTGCAATTATAGAAAAATAAAATAAACATAATTATGATAATGCAAGAATATTATTATTAAAAGACATTTCTCTTATTTAATGCAATATTTCTATTTATTAATTTTTTCGCCACCTTTTATTTATATACATGAATATATACATATATAATATAATGACATTTTTGCATTTATAGATAAAACAAATCAACAAAATTATGATAATGTAAGATAAGGGAAAGACATTTTTCTTATTTAAGTAATTCATTGTTTTTTTTCTTGTTTTTTGCCACCTTTTATTTATACACATGCTTGCTGGTATAAATAAAAATAAATAACTTACGCACATAATAATAATAATATATTAATATAATAATAATACATTATTTAACCAAGTGTCAAACAACGGCTGAGGTCACATGGTCATATATATTTGCATATGACCGCCTCCAGAGCAACATCGACCAATAGTTATACATCATCGCAACATAGGCTCCGCCCACTGGGATTCAGTCGTTTATCAGCTGACATCTGTCAACACCGGACGCGAGCTTCGCGTCGCGTCGCGTCGCGTCAAACGCAAACAGAACTTGTTCGACTTCATGCGGCGCCGCAAAGATCAAGCAATGCATTCTGGTTAGATCATTTGTCCGACTTTGATCGGCGCTGCAGCCGCCTTACGATCACGTGCCATCAAAATACCGCGAGAACAAAACGAGACCAGCCGCCGAAGTCAGGCGCTGCAGTTGCTCAACGGCTGCGAAAGCCTTGATGACGACACACTTTATTCTCATTGGTCAGATTCTGTTATGACAAGCACGAGGTGTGTTGCGTGTTTATTCTAACAATTCAATTCCAATAATACTCACAAATCTGTGTTTTTATAACAGTAAAAGCTTTTTTAGTGTAGTCACACTGTTATCTTGAGTCATGTTTATCAAAAAACACTGATGAAAGCATATATTACTTATTGCTTTTGAATAGAGAGATTCAAACAAAAAGTAATAAAAAATAGAACAAAATAAAAAAAATAAAAGACTGCAAGGGACGTCGCTAGCGGAAGCGCAAGTGTCTGAGAGTGCAAGCCTGAGAATGCACGTCTGAGAGTGCAAGTGCGAGACTGCAGCCAGACCCTCTTGATTTTTTTGCTCCAGCGCCCGGGGAGCAGTTGGGGGTTCGGTGCCTTGCTCAAGGGCACCTCAGTCGTGGTATTGAAGGTGTGAGAGAGCGCTGTACATTCACTCCCCCCTCCTACAATCCCTGCCGGTACAAGACTCGAACCCACAACCTTTGGGTTACGAGTCCGACTCTCTAACCATTAGGCCGTGACTTCCCCGTCGCGTGTCTGAAAAAAAAGTGTCCGACTTGACGTCTCCGTCTTTTTAATTCCGCCCCGACTGCAAGCGGCTGCTCTAGCCTGTATAGTTAATCTCGAACAAGCCTATTGACGTATTGACGTACTGCTGACAACAACAGGACAAATGGAAGAATAAAAGGAGGTTCGCGCTGACGCGCTCATTTCCGTCGTCTATATTTTTCAGAAGCTCCTCAGCGTCAGGAACAAGTGGATGGTTTGTTTTTAATGGCGTCCTGGGTCGCGCCGGAGGATTATGTTTATTCGGAACATTTGACTGCAGATTGTTTTGTAAACGAGGCATAGTGTAATGGAGAGTTGGAGAAACGTTTTGTTGAAAGAGGAAATAGCCAACTGCATCACAAACCGTAAGTAAATAATTTCATAATGCTTTGTCTGAAAATGACGTTTTATATGGATACTGTTTCAAAACACTTACACACAGACACATATTAGTGCAAAATACTTTATTAATATTATAAGTAAACCTCAATGAACATATTAAAAATAATAATAAAAACATATTCTGATTACTTTGTGTTTAAAAATCATTCAAGGAAATGTTAAGAAATAAGGTACAGGTATGAGGTCCATTTGAATGT